CCCCAAAACCCCAAAACCCCAAAACCCCAAAACCCCAAAACCCCAAAACCCCAAAAGCTAGGCTTATAATAGAATTCTAGTAAAATAAAATAGAAAAAATATGATGCCTAATTGCCAACCAGAAAGTGACAGCGAAGACAGCTTGAATCAAGCCACTCCAAAGGGATACCAGTTTAATATTCCAACCCTTGAAGTTCGTGATAACGATTTTGTCAATGGCGCTTCCTAGTACGTCCTAATTTGTATCAAATTTCTCTGCAAAGTTTGTAGTTCATTGAATTTTAAGCATCATTACTTGAAAATTTCCTGAATGGCTTGTAAAATCTAGATCAAATTTATATAGCTCTGTTAGTGTATCTTTTTAATTATATTAACCAAAATCTTCTCCTCTTAAAAATATCGATGCAAATAGGTGAATCTTATTTTCTTGATATAGTCCGAAAAGAAAGAAGAGCAAATTCAGGAAACTTTCAATCAGAACAAAGAAATCTTCAAATAGATGTCCAAGTGTTGGACTGCAGGCGCTGAGGTCTACTTTACAGATAGCTTCTGAGCATTCAAATATCAAACAAATCAAGAGCAAATTTAAAAAATAATAAAGCAAAAGTAGGGTCGTCCCATCACTATGTCTTTGTCACTAAAGACAACTCACAACATCAGAAGGAAGAGAAGATATCCAATTTCTTGAGACAATCGAATATATTCCAAATCCATTTGAAAGCTGCTTTGGAAGAGTATAAATAATTTTTTATAAAAATAACAAAAATCAGGTTTATAGAGTTTAAGTTTATGATACTTTTATTATTAGGTTTATTTAGGTATCTGGTTTCTCTCATATGCGAGCTACGATCTATTAAGTTTTAGTAAGAAGCCATTAGTATAACCTTACCCAATTAGAAAATTTCATAACATAACATTCATCTCTATCCAATTAATACAACATAACATCATGAACTGTAGTCGCCTCTAAACCATTAATCCACTGCCAAATGGCCTTCTGGCCATCTTAATATCTCATTTCTACATGCCTCTACACTGCTCTTTACTTCATTTCTAATTTCCTAAAACCCGCAGTTATCCTCTCAGCAATCCTGCATTAATACAGAATTCTTTTCCCAATCCCTATTCCTCTGTTCCTTCCTTAAAGCTTCACCAGCGACCCTATAATACTAAATCTCCTAAAGAGAGAGTAGTCACTAGGCTTAACTATTTTATAATTTTGTGTTATTTATGAAACTGTGACTGGGAATGATAAATGTGCTGAAGTTTTTGAAATATTTTAGGTTGAGGATTAGGTAAGTAGGCATTGTAGTCATGGAAATTAGCATTTTAGTGATGGGGGTGAGAAGGGATCTGGGAGGGGTTTCTGGGTGGAATAGTTTTTGCGGTGTAAAGGAGGAGGTTATAAACATCTTTGAAGTGTTCACCAAAATAGAAATAGAGAGCAGTTTGAGAAGGGTTTGGTAGGGTTTGGCATGCCTGGAACGTGGGTGGTGTTTAGATGTTGGGGGAAACTCGAGTTTGGTTAAATTTGGCAGCCCAGGACTTATAGCTTTACTGGTTTGTCTATGATTCTCGGTTTACTGTAAAAATGTTTTATTATTAAATATTAGCTAAATCTCCAATTTCAATTCTTTCACAAAAATATGGGGTTTTGGGGTTTTGGGGTTTTGGGGTTTTGGGGTTTTGGGGTTTTGGGGTTTTGGGG